GTTTATTTAATTTTGGATTTTGAGTAAAAAAATCTACCTAACTGTAAAATTTCATCAAAAAATATTCATAAATAAAATTTTTATTGCAATTTGAAAAATTTGTATCTTCGCAAATACTGAATAAAAAACATTTTTTTATTTTTTTTAAAAAAAGTATTCCGCGAATTTTTTAATTTTCAAAAATTATATACAGTCTTGAAAAATAGACAAAATTACCTTTCCATTGATATATAACATGCCTACCTAATGTTTTTTAAGTGACAAATTAATTAGGGAAAACTCAACATCTTTTAGAAAATTTACCGATGGTACTTTATGATATTTTTACGATATTGAACATCTATATATATTAAAATGAAAGTGTGTTTGTATGTATGTTTGTTTGTTTGTTTGTTTGGACTTTATAGACTGCTAAACGGCTGGACCAATTTTCCTGAAATTTTCACAGTTTCTTCCTGTATGTCTGGAAGGAACTATAGGCTACTTTTTATGTTGAAATTTCAAGTGGGCGACGTTCCACGCCCATATTAAGAAAATATTAAATTAGTATATCTGAGATAATATAACAGCTAGAGTCTTCAAATTTTGTCGGAGCAACTTTAGTATCAATACAAAAATTCGTTTATCTTGGAAACTATTACAGTTAGAATATTAAAAATGTGCACGAGTAACTTTAAAATCCATGTAAACATTTTGGGAAATAAATTGGCTGACTACCCATGAGGGGAGCAGCACCTCCCATATTAATACAATACATAAATTAGTTTATCTGGGAAACTAATTGAACTAAATTCTTCAAATTTTGCACTAAGAACTTAAATATTCTTCTGAACATTTTGGAGAAAAAAGAGCGGACTTTCGTCATGGGGGGCTTGGAGCCTCCATATAAATTAAATAGAAAAATTCGTATTTCTGAGAAACTATTAGAGCTAGAATCTTCAAATTTTAATTGAAGAACTTTGACATTCATGTGAACATTCAGAGAATAATGGGCGGACTTTCAATGGGGAGCTTGGGAAACTAATAGAACAAAATTCTTTAAATTTAGCAAGAAGAACTTTATTAGACATATGAACATTTTGAAGAAAAAAAAAGGCGGACTTTCATCTGGGGGTTGTGAGTTCCCATATGAATTAAATAGAAAAATTCGTATATCTGAGAAACTATTAGAGCTAGAATCTTTAAATTCTACACGAAGATCTTTGACATTCATGTGAACATTTAGAGAATAACGGGCGGACTTTCAATGGGGTCTTGGCACCCCCTATATGAAATAAATACAAAATTTCGTACATCTGGGAAAATCTTAGATTTTTTTAAATTTGTCATCGTTTACATTAAAATCTTAATTAAGGTTCGGAAAAAATGTATCTCTGGAAAACATTACAGTTAGAATCTACAAAATTATAAAGAAGATATTTTATTTATATTGCTTTTAGGGTAGCAAAGCACATTGGGTATAGGTAGTTAATCTATATATATAAAAATTAAAGTGTGTTTGTATGTTTGTTTGGACTTTATAGACTGCTAAACGGCTGGACCAATTTTCCTGAAATTTTCACAGTTTCTTCCTGTATGTCTGGAAGGAACTATAGGCTACTTTTTATGTTGAAATTTCAAGTGGGCGACGTTCCACGCCCATATTAAGAAAATATTAAATTAGTGTATCTGAGATAATATAACAGCTAGAGTCTTCAAATTTTGTCGGAGCAACTTTAGTATCAATACAAAAATTCGTTTATCTTGGAAACTATTACAGTTAGAATATTAAAAATTTGCACGAGTAACTTTAAAATCCATGTAAACATTTGGGAAATAAATTGGCGGACTACCCATGAGGGGAGCAGCACCTCCCATATTAATACAATACAAAAATTAGTTTATCAGGGAAACTAATTGATCTAAATTCTTCAAATTTTGCACTAAGAACTTAAATATTCATCTGAACATTTTGGAGAAAAAAGAGCAGACTTTCGTCATGGGGGGCTTGGAGCCCCCATATAAATTAAATAGAAAAATTCGTATATCTGAGAAACTATTAGAGCTAGAATCTTCAAATTTTAATTGAAGAACTTTGACATTCATGTGAACATTCAGAGAATAATGGGCGGAATTTCAATGGGGAGCTTGGCACCTCACATATGAATTAAATACAAAATTTCGCTCATCAGGGAAACTAACAAAACAAAATTCTTCAAATTTAGCAAGAAGAGCTTTATTAGACATATGAACATTTTGAAGAAAAAAAAAGGCGGACTTTCATTTGGGGGTTGTGAGTTCCCATATGAATTAAATAGAAAAATTCGTATATCTGAGAAACTATTAGAGCTAGAATCTTCAAATTCTACATGAAGATATTTGACATTCATGTGAACATTTAGAGAGTTTCGGACTTTCAATGGGGTCTTGGCACCCCCTATATGAATTAAATACAAAATTTCGTATATCTGGGAAAATATTAGATTTTTTTTTAAATTTGTCATCGATTACATTAAAATCTTAATTAACGTTCGGAAAAATTGTATCTCTGGAAAACATTACAATTAGAATCTTCAAAATTATTAAGAAGATTTTTTATTTATTTAGGGTAGCAAAGCACAGTGGGTATAGCTAGTATTTTAGAAAATTCGAAAAGTACCATTTATGAGAAAAGTACTAAAAAGAAAAAGATCCTTAAATAATCTTATTCAATGATAATCAAGTGTTTTGAATTCATATCATAGAACATACAAAGAGTATCATTTGAAGAAAGAAAAAGTACCAAAAGTGGAATAAATTCTACCTTAGTGGAAAGTACTAATAAAAATTTTAAAATTTTCCCCCTTTTCGGTTAGAAATATACTTTTTTGAGAATTAAGTTTACAAAGTGTTCCGTGTCTATATCACAGATAAAACTCAAACGATTCAAATCTGCATTCATTTGTTCCAGAAAAGTTGTGCTTTCAAAAAATACCTAACAATTTACTCGAATAATATACCAATAGCTTATTTTGTGTGAGTAAATAAACTACTTTTTCAAATTTTATAAAAATTGGCTCAATGAGTTTGAATAAAATTTAATTTCCCGTTTTTCCTTTTATTGGTACTTTTTTCCCCAGTGCAATAGCAAAAATTTTGTTTCAACAAATATTACAGAGTTAGTCCGTAATTTAATGGGAATACTTCAATAAATCGAAAAAGTTTTCTTAATGTGCTAAAAAAGTACCAAAAATACGGTTTTCTCCCTTTTACACCCAAAAAGAACTGAATTTTAAAAAAGTACGAAACAGGTGTCTTCTAATTTTGGGAGATATATTCAAAATATTTACAAAAATTTTATTTTGATTATTAGTACCGGTCCACACTAGGAAACTTTTGTTGAGAAACTTTTTCTTAATTCTCTTTTGAAGTTTCCTTAATGTCCACACATAGAAACTTTTGTTTCAGAAACTACGTATTAATTGCATTGATTTGTTGTTGTACGAATGAGATGAATAACAAAACAAAACAAGTTTCCGAGTACGAGAAACTCCGTACCGCGAGAGAGATGAATGATATTCTTTCTCTTTCTCTCTCACGTAAAATCAAAAGTTTCCCAAAAAAAGTTTCCTAGTGTGGACCGGCAGTTAGTTAAAAAGTTATAAAGGGCCAAAAATGGTACCAAAATCACCTTTGTTACACATTTTCACCCCTTAAAAGTACGAATTTCAAAAAAGTACCAGATACCCCTCTGCTTATTTTAAGAGTAGATACAGGTGCATTTAAAATTTTTCTTGTATCAATAATATTAGGTAAGATAATTAAGAAAACCTGTTTTACCCGTTTTTTTTTTCCTTTTTTACCCCTAAATGTACAAATTTCCAAAAATCTACAAAAACACATCTACTGTCAAAATTTCATGATTCTAGGTTCAGCCTTTTGGGCTGTGCGATGATGAATCAGTCAGTCAGTAGCGCTACTCTATATATAGATAAAGCCAAATTAATTTTTCTAATAAATAAATTGTGACTTGAATTTTTGCACAGAGGTAGCTATCAATTATACCGAAGCATGTTTAAAGAAAAAAGTTTGCAAAAATACAATTCAAACTTTTGAAGTGTTTATCGTTTTTACAAATAGCATATACGCCCTTATTCTTGTCCATGCTTCACATGTTGGATAATATTTGCGTGTAAACATTTTTAATACACTAGTGCTTAACTAAATTAAATATATCTCAATTATTTGACATTTTCGGAAAATTGTTATCGCCATGGCCATCCGAAATAGGGGATTTTCAACTTTAACAAAATGTAATTTCGGGAAATTTATTACTAAATCCTATAGTAACAGGAAAAATAAATGTGCTAGACAATTTAAACTACATAGTTAGATTCATAGACACCAAATAATTTTGTCCACCTATATTTTGACAGTTTAACGGTTGAAAGTAGACTTAATTAAAAACAAAATTTTATTTAAATGGGATATTGATCATTCCAATTGTTAGTTATTGAGAGTTTTTATTATATTCGTCACAGTAAAGTCTGCCCGTCTCTGGAACTGCCTACCACCAGATCATAGGGTGTTTGCAAATTCGGCTAACATATTTAACATAAACTGTATTTGCATATACATATGTATGTATGTGAGTCATCAGTCAAAGGAGATTACTTTCATCTATTTTTAATATAATCATTGTTGTTACTATCATGGACCTTACTTTATTGTTATTTATTCTTTACAAATTTGAATTGTTAGTAATTCAATTGTAAATTTTGAATTTTTTAGATGTAAGCTCTGTAATAATGTTTTTTTTTTGCCAAATATGGCTTCTTATTATTACCTGAATTGAAACAAATAAAGTGAAAATGACTAACTACCAATCAATTTTAATTACATTTTTACTGATTTATTAAACCTTCAAAAATATAATTGTTATTTGTTTTTGCCTCGGAAAATGACTAACTACCAATCAATTTTAATTACATTTTTACTGATTTATTAAACCTTCAAAAATATAATTGTTATTTGTTTTTTAGATTACCAAACTGCGTATTGAACATTGTTCAGTTTATACAAACTGTTCTTCATGCCTCGAGTCACGTGATCCATTTTGTGGATGGTGTTCTTTGGAAAAACGCTGTACTGTACGTTCTACGTGTCAAAAAGATACTTCTGCTGCTCGCTGGTTGTCATTAGGCAGTGGTCAGCAGTGCATCGATTTTGAGTCAATATTACCGGATAAAATACCTATTACAGAAGTCTCGCAAGTACAACTAATCATTCGCACCCTACCAGAACCTTTCAACGGAAAGTATCGTTGTGTCTTTGGCAATTCTTCGCCTATAGATGCAGAAGTACTTGAAAGTGGTTTATCGTGTATGACACCTCCATTATCCCAACGCCCGCTTATACCACCAAATTCTGATCATGTTTTAGTTCCATTGTCTGTACACAGCTCGGAGACAAACAAAGATTTTGTCACGCGGTCGTTTGCCTTTTTCGACTGTTCGCGACATAATACATGTCAAACTTGTGTTCACAGCTCTTGGGATTGTAATTGGTGTATTTATGATAATAAATGTGTGCACAAAATGCAGCAATGTCGGAATTTGGAAAATGTTATTGTTAAGGAGTTGGAATGTCCACATTTGAAACACTCCAAAGAACCAATTTTAATGCCTGTACGAGTTCCAAAGGAAATACGTTTTGAAATTGAAAATTTGCCGAAACCAAAGAGTGCACACTCTGGATTTTTATGCACTGTCCAAATAGAAGCAGCTCAAATGTTATTACCGGCTCGTATTGAAAACAACAGATTTGTAGTTTGTGAAAAAACGCCATATTTCTATGAAACAAATACATATGAATATCAAGCTAAAGTGGATATTACCTGGAATCGCCAACATTATATAGATACGGCTATTGTTACACTATACAAATGTGATGTTTTGGGATCACATCGTGAACATGCTGATTGTAGTTTATGTGTAACAAGAGATCCGAAATATCATTGTGCCTGGTGCGCAAATACTTGTGTCTATAACGAAACTTGTGCTGCAATCACGGCACTAAACAATGGTGTAGACTTAGACGTATTATCTTCTTCTTCGACACCAGTGCTTCCTCCAAACCATAACTTTGAGTCAAAATTTAATGAATGCCCTAAACCACGCATAGATATGATAAAACCTTTGTTTGGACCTATTGAAGGCGGGACTCTGGTAACAATTGAGGGTAGCAACTTAGGTATACGAGAAGAAGATGTAAAGGGCAAGATATCTATTGGTTCTGTGCCTTGTGAATTGGTCAATTATGAAATATCGGTAAAAATTGAATGCCGCACGGGTGCCGTTAATCACGAGCTAACTGCACCAGTAAAAGTTTTTAATGGCGCAGGTTTTACTGAGTCGAGTGTACAGTTTCAGTTTAAGGATATACAGTTAAATGGCTTAACACCTACAGTGGGTCCCAAATCCGGCGGAACTAAAATTACTTTAATGGGAAAATATTTAAATATTGGTTCTAATATACGTGCTTTTCTAGATGAATACGAATGCTTCATAAATATGATACAGGCATCATCATCACGCCTGACATGCATTACTTCGGAGTCATCACAACCAGAACCAATTAGAACGTTACATCTAATGGTCGATGGTGCTAATCGCACATATACATGCCAAATGCCTCAGCTTCAACAGAACATGCGCTCTTTATATGATCAACAAATTTTGTTTCACAATAACTATCGTTACAATTTACCTTCCCTAGCGATGCCGTGTTCGATATTTAATTACACTCAGGACCCCACCATAATGGAAATTAAACCGCTGCGAAGTTTTGCAAGCGGTGGTCGGCTTTTGACAGTTCATGGCATGTATTTGGATTCCATTCAAAAACCTGAACTAGAAGTGTATTTTGAAAGCGAGCGATTAAACAAAACTACTTGTGTGGTTATAAATTCAAGCCAAATGGAATGCCCATCTCCAGCAGTATCTCAAAAGTTTCTTGCATATAAAACTGCCTTAGATCAACAGTCGGAAAATGTAGGCATTAATCAAGCTACTGCATCATCAGTTTCGTCGGGTTATAATGCTCTAAGAAAGCTTGATAACCCATACAGCAGAGATATGGCCTACATTTATAGTACAACTGGTAATATTTATAATAACAATGATGGTTTTTACCATGCTCAAGATGTGGCGGCTTTTGTAAAAATACGCGAGACTCAGTTAAATCTGCAACTGGGTTTCAATATGGATGATGTTCAATGGGTAAGGGACTTAAATAAATACTTTCCGAGCCTAAGAAGTACCATAGTGTATGTACAAGATCCGAAGTACTACCCATTTAATGAAAATCCAAAACTTTACAAGGGCGATACACTAGTAATTGAAGGAGAAATGTTAAATGTTGCTGCAGACGAATCAGATGTTAAAGTTACCATAGGAACAGAGCAATGCAATGTTACCAGTTTAACGCTTACCCAATTACTATGTACCCCACCAGAAAAACAGCCAGCTCCTACAAATGAAAATGGTGTAGATCAGCTTAATGATTTACCGCTTGTTGTAGTAAACGTTGGTCGCAATATGCGTTTCGTAATAGGACATATAAAGTATGATTTAATGAAACCGTATTCATTTTCACATGTAATGTGGGTTATTATCTGTACAATTATTATTGTTGTTGTACTTTTAATAATTGTTTTATTTGTATATCGACGAAAGACTACACAGGCCGAAAGAGAATATAAACGCATACAAATTCAAATGATTACATTGGAGAGTAACGTTCGTTCAGAATGTAAGCAGGCATTTGCAGAATTGCAAACTGATATGACAGATTTAACGGCCGATTTGGAAACATCCGGTATACCCACCTTAGATCACATTAATTATATTATGAAAGTATTTTTCCCAGGTGTAACAGATCATCCCATATTGAATTCTCCAAAGGTAAGAACTTTTCTGTAAAAACACATTTACTTTTAATCGTAAGATATTATAATTTAACGTTGTAATTAGTTTATAAAAATCCGTCTATTCAAAAAGCCGGTTTGTCATTTAAACGAAAATTTACCATTTCTAGAAACCCGATTTTTTAGTTAAACGAGTATAAAAACCGGTTAACCGCAATTTATAAAAGTGTTAAAAAATTAATAATAAAATGCCCACATTTCATAAAATTTTAGGAATATTAAAGAAAATGTTGATTAAATATAATTCTTGTACTCTTTGTACAACTTGTTGTTTTAGAAAATTAATAGACCAAATCGTTATAGGGTAGAAGGGGGACCATACGCCACTTTTTTTTAAGGCGTTCTCAAATTAAAACCATAATACATATTCTTATTTTTTTTCTTGGTTCGGATACTTAGATATGTTGGCTTTAGTTTTATTCATTTCAATCTTTCCTATATCATCTTAATGTACATATTTTTTTAAATTTTTTGCACTGACCAAAAACGGCGATACCGCCCCACCCATGGGGTAAATACGCCAAGGAGATGGGGCAGATTTGTCATTAGTAAAATAAACCAAAAAAATTTAAAAATAAAAACTTTTTTCGCTATTTTATATTTTAATTCATTAAACAAAGTATAATAAACCAGATAAATATTGTTTATTTCAAATAACTTAACAAAAAAAATTAAAACAAATTGTGACTGTTTTTTTCTATATTTTAACCAAATTTTGTTCTACATCACAAGCATTACATATATTTGGCAAATGTGCCCCACGGGCAGTTTTGGGGGTTTAGTTTCAATTTTTTTTTGGCTTCAAATTATGTTATCGGAAATATTATTATATATTATTGTTCACTATTATTGACGTTCTATCACAGACCAATATATTTTTTCTATCACAAAAACTAAAAAAGTTAGTACAAAAAATACGCCAAGGAGATGGGGCAGATTTGTCATTAGTAAAATAAACCAAAAAAATTTAAAAATAAAAACTTTTTTCGCTATTTTATATTTTAATTCATTAAACAAAGTATAATAAACCAGATAAATATTGTTTATTTCAAATAACTTAACAAAAAAAATTAAAACAAATTGTGACTGTTTTTTTCTATATTTTAACCAAATTTTGTTCTACATCACAAGCATTACATATATTTGGCAAATGTGCCCCACGGGCAGTTTTGGGGGTTTAGTTTCAATTTTTTTTTGGCTTCAAATTATGTTATCGGAAATATTATTATATATTATTGTTCACTATTATTGACGTTCTATCACAGACCAATATATTTTTTCTATCACAAAAACTAAAAAAGTTAGTACAAAAAATTTGCACAGTGAAATATTTTCACAGCCTTTTGAAAAACAATCACGTCTGCCATATGTCCATCATATGTAAAGTTAATGTTTCAAACTTTCAGGGATGATAGATAATCGATAAACGAAAACAAAATTTGATAATGCGATAAAATCGATTACTCGGTTTTCAAGTTATTTGCCATTGGCAGATGTGCCCCTATGGCAGATGATCCCCCTTCTACCCTACATTATGATCTTTAGAAAATAGAAAACTAGTTTTGACTTAAATGCCATGTTTGGTAGACCGACTTATTATATAATTGTATGACAATGAATGTGCCCAAACGAAAAACACCCCATATACATATACATACATATACACATACATATACATATACGTATCCGAATTCTGTCAGAATTCGTTGCGAAAATCGTTTGAAAGGAATTCGGAACTCTTTGTCTAAGGAAATTCGGAAAAATATGCAGAATTTTCGGTCAGAATTAGGTACGAAATCTGATGTAAATTCCTGGGGAAATTCTGAAGGGATTTTCGACAAATCTGATTGAAGTCGGACAAATGTCTAATACCATATCTGACATTCTTTTGACATTTCGTATGAAAGTCTGATCAAATATAAGAAAGTCTGATAGATGTCGGATAAATGTCTGATGAAATGTCCGACAGTTCGTTCAAAAATCTGATCAAGTATAAGAAAGTCTGATAGATGTCTGATAAAATGTCCGACAGTTCGTACAAAAGTCTGATCAAGTATAAGAAAATGGCCTGACTATTCTGATCAATGTCTGATGAAAACTATTTTCATATATATAATTTATTATGGTTTAATTTTATTAATTTTAATAATAATTTATAAGCTTCCATTATTCATTACTTCTTAAGGGTACATACATAAATAAATAATAGAAACTTATAGAATATTTTTTAAATTAATAAAATTAAACCATACTATTTACATATTATATACGAAAATAGAGTTCATTATATACATCTATTTAAAATTATAAAATTAAACCATAAAAAATGATGTCATTTTTTGCTATTTTTTGTGTATTAACAAAGTTTAAAGAAATTTAAACAATAATCATCTCATATGCAGCAAGTAATGCTTTCCAAAGTCCAACTAAGAAAATAAAAAAAAAAAAAAATAAAAATTAAATTCCCTTTTAAAGTACAGTTGACGAATTTCAAAATAGAAACAGGTTTGTGCATGATTTTTATTAAAAAAAAAACAAAATTTCCTTCAGATAATGTGCAGAGTTGTCGCAAAGTTTTCTTACAAAACTACTGAAAATGGGAACAAAATTACCGAGTAAAAAATATCAGAATATCTGCAGACTATTCTGTTAAATATCTAAAGGAAATTTATATTATTCGCTTAATTGCCTGACGAAGTTACAAAAACAAATCTCTTCAGATTATGTGCAGATTTATCGTATTTTACTTCAGAAAATGTACAGACTATTCTTCTTTATGTCTAAAAAGAAAAATAGAAATAACAAAAAAAATTGTCCTCCGCCAATGTGCAGATTAGTCTCATAATTATCGTAACACTGAAAATCCCTTTCGACAATGTGCAGACAAGTCTGATGTTAATCGTTTAATACTTCAGAAAATGTGCAGAAAAGTCTAACAAACAGTTTGCCGATTATTCTGTAAAATGTCTAAAGGAAATTTAGAAATTCGTTAAAAATTCTGATAAAATATAAGAATTATTTCAGAAAATTTCTGACATCAGACATGTCTAAAAAATTGTTTACTGGGTACATATATACAGTGTCTCTCATAATTATTCGAATTTGGGTAAACTATAAAAAGAAACCAAATTTAATAATATATTTTGTGTGCAAAATAAATAAATTAATTTGTTATATTGTCTAGATAGTCCTTATGTTTGATATCACGCTTTTTAAAACTTGAAAAATTTGCATTGACTTAAATTAATTGTGGATTTTAAAAAAAAAGTCCATGAAATTGCCTCTAAAAAGTATACGAATTTTTCCTGTATTTCATATTTGATCATATTATACGCAACACAAATTTTAGAATCGAATAGTTTTTATGCGTAATATTGTTTTAAGGGGTTACTATCCACGGAAAGGATATATTTTTGGCCCATTTGGTCCACAATTTTGGGAAATTTTTACCTTTTTTCAAGTAATATCATTAAAATGGCGATTTTTGGCCATAATTGTAAATTTTTCTCCTTATTTCCAGAGATAAAACAAAAATTTGATATTCGGACTTAAAAGACGCCTTGGGGTATCTAAAAATAATATTTTTTGTTACAAGAATCTGTATTTAAACGTTCCAAGATAAATTATTCGGATCATTCTTCTGTCGCTAATTCAATATATTGGAACTTAAGTCCATTTTTATAATACTAGGATCAACTATTTTCGGGGAAAGTTTTCTGGTATATATTCTTTTAGATATCAGCTTTTATACATTTTAAGTTTTCCATGTGTTGTGGAAGTGTACATCTCCAAAACATGCCTCTAAAAAACACCATACAAAATAGTAAAATTATTATTTTTATATATCAATGGCCTCCATGCTGCATGGCACGATATCATTATGATCTAACTCAAAAATGTTGATATGTGTTTAAATATTATTTACTATGATCAAATTAAAATCAAAATTTTGGACTTACAGTGTTATTGTAACGGGCAAAATAAGCGTGAAAGTTACGAGTAGTAAAAACTGAAATCTACTATATAGGATGACGTTTTGTTAAGACATGTTTTGGGGTTGTATACCGCTATAATATATTGAAAATTTAAAATATATTAGTGCCAATATGTACATGAATATACACTAGACAACTTTGTCGGAAAATATCGTTCCTAGAGGTACGAAAAGTGACTTATGATCCAGATTATTCAATTAGAAACTGAAAAACGACACCAAAACTACTTCCTTATAACAAAAAGTATTATTTTTAGATATCCTATGGGTTCTATTAAATTCCAATATTAAATTTTGGTTTTATCTCAGGAAAAAGGTGAAAACATTACAAATATAGCCAAAAATCGCCATTTTAATGATATTACATGAAAAGAGGGTACAAATCCCCCAAAATTGTGGACCAAATGGGTCAAAAATATATCCATGCGGTTGATAGTTACCCCTTAAAACAATATTAAGCATAAAACCATGCGATTCTAGAATTTGTGTATCGTATAATATGATCAAATATGAAATACAGGAAAAATTCGCATACTTTTGTGAAGTAGTTTCATGGACTTTTTTTAAAAAAAGCACAACTAATTTAAGTAAATGTATAGTTTTTAAGTTTTAAGGGGCGTGATATTAAAACTAAGGACTATCTAGACAATATAACAAATTAATTTATTTATTTTCCACACAAAATATATTATTAAATTTGGTTTTTTTTCATAGTTTACCTAAATTCGAATACTTATGAGAGACACTGTATGTTGAATCAATATTATAGAAATTTCAAAAAAAAGTCTCTTTTTATATGTTCTTACATAATCCAGGCTCTACATGCTTAATGTTTCTTGGTTCAATATTGTAAATTCTAGGTTCAATATTATAAAAAATACTGAAGAACGAAAAAGTACCAAAAAGTCCCATTTTATAGATTCTCACTTAATCCGGAATATTCAAAAAGTACTTTTTGTACAAAGAAAAAGTACAAGAAGTCC